TGCTTTCTTGGTCTGACAAATCATTTACATAACAGGAGAGATATGATTCCATACATTATCAATAATATTACAGTCACTTATCGAGAATCGTGTCACCATTGCCATCGTGTCAAAGTGCTTTGAATATTGTAAAGTACTGTATAGAGATGGCGTATACTTAGAAAGCAATAGAGATGGAAATATTGTATTTTTTTGGTTTTTTTAAATAGTTTTAAATTTTATTTACAAACATGTAAAATACACATACACAAAACTTAGACGTACACCACATTTACACAATACAATAGGAACAGGAGCTTCCTGTTCTTTCTAAATAGCAATTGCCAATCGATATCGCTCACCTTATATTGTTTCCCCTTCTATTATATTTCATTCTTAACCCTCTTATCTTACTCCTCTGTCTGCTAAATTGGCTGATTACCTCTAGTAAGTTTAAACCACTTGATACATATATATGTTGTTATTCTCCTTAACTTCTATTTTTGGGTTTTGTTGTCTTCCTTCATTGATCCTTGTTTCTTTTCTCCATCCACCTATACCATTTATTCCATATCTGGTAGTATTCTGTTTCTTCTTTTCCCTGGATTTCTTTTGTTAATTTGTCCACTTCAGCACAGTCCATAACCTTTCTTATTATTTCACCTTCATTTGGAATTAATTTGTTTTTCCATTTCTGGGCAAAGACAATATTTGCCGCCATAATTATACGTAATACTAGTAATCAGAGGTGGGTTTCAAATCCTGGCACTACCAGTTCACTTGTGCTCGTGTGTGTGTGACACTTCTGCACATTCACAGAAGCATCCGGGCGGGTGGGTGGAGCCTCCCGCGACCACCACTACCAGTTCAGCTGATCCAGGACAAACCGGGAGCAACCCACCTCTGCTAGTAACCATTGCAACTTGCAATGAAGAGCTGTAAAGATAGGTGTTTAATAGTTTAACAACTATAGATGTTAAAAAAGAAAAGAGAGAATGTTAAACCCTAATCTAGTCTTGTAAATCATTGGACTAGGACTCAATCTTTCTCTCACACACATACCCATCAACCAACAATGACCAGAACCGGCCTTGGACAAAGGAGAACCATTGTGAAACAGTCCTACTAACTAATCCCCCAAATCAACCAGAATGATATCATAATCAATACTATCAAAAGACACCAAGAGATCAAGGACGATTAGGAGGGTTGTATTACTCCATGTCACTAAAGGTTATTCATGAGTGAAACAATGTCATCTCAGTGCTACATGTTGGCTGGAAACACAACAGAAAATATTCAATTTAATATATTTCTTCCAGAGCTCTAGCTGTTGCTATCAAAAAATATAGTCAAGTCTTTTCCATTTCAAAATTTCTTTGGATTTACTTCTCATAACATCATTCTTCACTGGTATTAAAACCTAATAATGACTCTCATTTTTAATCAATCTAGGTGGCAAGCTGTTCACCTGTAAAGCGTGCCATTTAGTTATGAGTATTTTTTATATCAGTCCAAATGTAGTAAAAGATAAAAAAAACAGGTTTGTCCAGACATTTGGTAAAGTATTGCACACAAGTATTGGCTGAGTTCTTTAAGATGGTTTGCATTGGACAGCTTTAACGCATCCTTTAGCAGATCAGGTATCCTATTCTGAATTATGCATGTCTTGGATTATCAGACATAGAAAATATACAATAAAATACAATTTTACTTACCTATAAACTCTGGAGAAGCTCATGATCAAAAGAAAAATTATATTTGCATTTACTTTTGAGCTCAAAATGAAACTGAGGCTTGGGAGGCCTAGTGTACTGGGCCGCCAAAGGCCCACCTCCTGGCATACCCCATGTTCTCCCTCCTACTCCTCAGGCTCCCCACAGTCCCTGTGCTTGTTTTCCTCCTCCAGGTTCCTGCAGACCTCCCTGGGTCTTTTCAGGCTTTTCCCACTGCCACCAGTTCCCCCATGGACCTTTTCCCTCCCACTCAGTCCCCACAGGGCTTGGCCTTACTGGAGCTCTCTGCTGTACTGCATGGACCACTTTAGGGAAGAAGAATGCAGCTCTATCATGCGACCATGTGGTGTGATTCTGGAAGTGGTTGCCCTTTTCCAAGCATTCACATTAAGCTACAGTTGTTCAGAAAAAGGTGGCTGCTTCTGGAGTTGTGCCATGGTTGTGCAACAAAGCCTCCATTCTGCTACCCTAATAGTGCTGCAGAAAACTCTAATTTTTTCTCTCTACTTTTTGTTTCTTCTCCCACTATACTTATCACATCATGACAATATGATAATACCAGATTAAAAATTATGCATTGTATTGTACACATTGCATTATTTTTACTTTTCTTGTTGTTTTTTTCGAAATGACATTTCCCCTGAAAAGTACCATATTTTTCAGACTATAACATGCTCCAGACTATAAGACGCACCTAGCTTTTGAAGAGGAAAACAAGAAAAAAAATCTGCCTCACAACATCCATCTGATATTCATCTGGCCTGTTTGCCACCACCCATTTGTTGCCGTGGTCCATTCTGCGTGGCCTGGTCACCATGGCCCATTCACCACCTCCCATTCGCCACAGCCCGTTCGCTGCTGCCTGTTCACCATGGCCTGTTTGCCACTACCTATTTGGCATGGCTTGTTCCCTGCCACCCATTTGCCGCTGCTGCGACCCGTTCTTGAACAGCTGATCAATGCCGCATGAAACCCTCCCCGCCACAATATTCACTGTAGAAGACATACAGACATTTTCACCCACATTTGGGGGGGGGGGAGTGCATCTTATATGCCTAAAAATAAGGTAATCGTTCAGTCATAGAGATTTAACTACAATTTGGATATGACTTCAAACTATTCTTGATATATCCAAATTGGTAGACCATATGCAACAATAGCTCAGATATTTTTTTTCTGCCGCTTAGGGTAATGAGCAACTATCCTTTTTAAAAAAAAATCTCATCCTCATGGGCTTTGGCTACATCTTTCTGATGTCAGTTCCTATTATTTTAGAAGGTATGATAATGATTGGCTATGGCTCTGCGTGAGCCACCACTTTTCAATTTTTCTACACTTAGCGTGGAAGTTATATTTATGATGTACAAAAAGTCTTTAACACTTTTTCTATTAAACCACTAAGACTTTTTTCTATTAAGCCACCTGTTTCAGTCAATTCCTATAGGAGTCATTTAAAGCAAAGTTTAATTAATCAGGCTGCTTGAATTTCTTGCAGCCATTTCACGTTTCTAGGGCAGATGCCCAAGATCTGATTAAGTAGCTGTTTCATTTTTATCAAAGAACAAGTGATTACAAGCCAGGAGAACTAGTTATGGAATTGGCACAAAAACTATTTCATTATTAACGTGGAGAAAACTACTACAACTTCATTGAAAAGTTAAGAAAAAGTGACTAACTCTTACTGCACAAACCCAATAAAACAAAACATTTGCAGTTACTTGTAGAATCATCCTTCTGGACCACTCTCAGATTGATGCTAGATAAAACACGGTGGATTCTATTCCTTCTTTATGGCTACTATCATCCTGCTCTTCTATTAGACCAACCATTCAACATTACAGCATGAACTGATAGCCCTAGTCCTAAAAACATTCCTACTTAACCAAGGGAATGTCTCAATTTCTCTCTCCCTTGCAATTTTGGTGCCCCTGCTATGCTGAAGATATTCTCCAGCATTAAGCTTTCATCCCATTATCTAAATATCAAAGCACCTTAGGTTTTCTATCACAGAATAGAAAGGGACAGCTATATTTCCCATTGAAAAACAATGAGCTTAGAAAACTTTTTAAATAAACATAATCAAAACCTTTCAATTCAAGGAAAATAATTCTAATGAAAGAAAGCACAGGGTTAGCAATTCTGTAGGACCAAAAGTATATTAGAATAGTCCAATCTTTTTTAGAGTCAAGAACATTGTTGGTTGTTCTTTTCAATAATAAACTGTATAATATAGCTCTGTCTTTGTGAACTGTCTCTCCAAAATC